GGCAGCTCCCCAGCACCTCCCTCTCAGTGGGACACCTCTGGCAGCCTCTCCCAGCTTGGGAACCCTCCAGTTTGCAACACTCCAAAGACCCTCGCTGGTGCCCAGGACAATTCTGATCCCCCTCAACAAACACTCCTCCAGCTGTGACCCTTGTCTGCTGGCAAACACAAAGGGATTTGGGGGAGTGTTTCCCTGACAACAAGGAGAATTTGGGAGAGGGACCTTTCCACACCCAGCTATTGATGTGTCCACACATCTCTGCCTGGGTGTGGGTGTGAATTGACTGTGGTGTGAAGGTTGTTGTTGTGAATCTATAATTCAGCCACTGTTAAATATGTGGCAAATGCTATTGAATCACTTGAAAACTGCTCAACTGGTCAATGATTAAGTGCTAGTAATGTCTTTTGCACCCTGACCTTCTTGCAACCCAAGGCTCTGTGTAAATCATTGCCTTTCATAAAAATATATATTTTTTTTCATGACTTCCACTTTAAAATCTTCCTGCTTAGCTAAACTACAAAACAACTCCAATTAGTTGTTGATGTCTTGAAGACAATTAAAGAAAGAAAAATAATTTGTTTTTCAATGTTTTAATGGGTCCCACAGTGTGTTTGGAGCTGCATCAGCTGTCAGTCCAAGATGGGCCATGTCAGAACTGCTGAGGTTGGGGGGTGAGGAGCAAGGTTGATCATCCAGGGTCGGTGTGGATCTCCTGAGGAGACACTCAGCATCAAGATCACTTGGAGAACACCTCTTATCACCTCTTCTCTGAACTGAAAAATATCCATAATTGAAGTAAAACAAAAAATAGTACATATTTTGAAGACTTGTTTTGAAATTGTCTTGAAGACAATTAAAGGAAGACAAAGAGATCCTGAGAGATTTCTGGATTTTAATGAGCCCCACGGTGTGTTTGCAGCCCAGCCCATGATCCTGAGGTGCTGAGAGAAGATGGAAGCAGCTGCTGAAGAAGTCAGAAGCCAAACTGCAAGTGCCTTGAAGCATTGCTGGGCCCCACTGAGGGCAGGCACTGCCAAAGCCTCCCCAGGGACTCCTTGGAGCAGCTCCTTGGAGGCCAGGAGTGCAGGCAGACAAAGGCTCTGGGCAGGCCCCTGCAATGCTGAGCAAAGCCTGCCTTGGTTTTGTGGAGCACAAAGGCCAAGGGCTGAGCCCCAGGCCCTGGCCCAGCAGATCCTGTCCCTCCCGGCTGGCTCAGGGCTGTTTGGGGGGCACTGGGATGGGAGGGGGAGGAACAACAAAGGCCCAAAACTGGGCAACCCCTGCCAGGCTCCTGAGGGAGGGGTGAGGCAGAACCCAAGTGCAGAACCTGCCAGGAAAGTTGCTTGTGGTGGCCTGAGTGGCAGAGGCAGCTGCCAGAGGCAAGGGGACAAAGGCCTGGGTGCCTTTGGGCCTTGCAGCCCTGCCAGAGCCCTTGGCCATCTCTCCTGCAGGCTGTCCTGCCCTGGCCCTGCTGCTGCTCTGGCCTTGCAGGCTGCACACACCCCTCCTGCTTTCCCACCCCCTCCCAGCAGCATTTCCAGACCCTCCCTGATGGCTCTGCACCAGCTCTGGCTGTTGCCATGTGCACTTGGCCTTCTGAACTTGGATCCTGAGCCCCTGTGCCACAGGACATCCCTCCCAGAGCCCAGGCCTTTCTCCTGGGGGTCACTCCAGTCTGGAGTTCTGGGTTTGGGCTTTGCCTTTGAGGTCAGGTTGAGCTTGCGATTAGAGCAGTGGATTCCTTTCAGTGGGTGCGGCAGCACTTTTGGATTGGGGCTTGAGGTCAGAAACAGTGTAAAAGTTCATCAGGAGTGTTTGCACAGTCAGTGTTTCAGCACCCTCAGCCTTAACTGAACCTGGTTTTACCTCATAAAAATCGTTCCCCTCTGTTGGATAAGCCCCTCTTTCCTTCCCTAAATATCCAATCCTTTTTGTCTCAGTTCCTCCTAATCTCCCCCAAACTTCCATCTGGGTGGGCTCAGCTCTGTGATGACACTGTGCAACCTCATGGAATCAAGGGGCCATTGTGGCACCGCAGGGCCTCATGGAAAGAAAGGAACAAAGGGACACTGTGAAATCTTGTGGAACCAGGGGACCATTTAACGTCTGGGGCCTTGGGGAACAAAGGGAACCCTGAAATATTTTGGAACCTCATGGAACCAAGGGGCCATTGTGATCCTGCAGGGCCTTATGGCCCCAAAGGGACCCTGTTCCACTGTGGACCCTCAGGGAACTAAAGGAACGCAGGGACACTGCGGAACCTTGTGGAATCAGGAGGCCCATAGGACACTGCGGAAACTCCTGGAATCAAGGGGCCATTGGGACACTACAAAGCCTCACTGAAGCCAAGGAATTCTGAGACTGTGCATCCTCATGGAACCAAGGGGTCATCAGGATATGCAGGGCCTCATAGAACCAAAGGATTCCTGAGACAGTTTGGAACCCCATGGAATCAAGGGTCCATTGGGACATATGGGGCCTCCTAGAAGCAAAGAAACCCTGAGAAGTTTTGTGAGAACAAGTTAAGGCAGCAGCAGCTGCATTCAGTTAATCAGGATCAACAAGGAGTGTTTTGGCCTTGACTGGTGTTTTCCATCCAGAGAGTGCTGTTTGCTAAAGTGGAAACCACTTGGAACACTCTGCATGGTAGCCTGTGTTTTTCTCTGGTGGTTGAACACAGGCAGCACATGAGGGGAGGGGAATGTGTGGGATCAGGGCACTGCTTTGGATTATCTGTTGTCATAAGATAGGTACATGGAGATTGTTTTGATATATGTTTAAGTCTTCCTTGAAAATATAACTGATAGAAAACAATGTAAAAGAAAAAAAAAAGGGAAAAAAAAAGAAAAAGAAAAAAAGGAAGAAAAATAAGAAAAAGGAGAAAAAAAGAGAAATAAGAATGGGAAAAAGGGAAAAAGAGAAAAAAGGAAAAAGAGGGGAAAAGAAGGAAAAAGAAAGAAAAAAGGTAAAAGTGAAAAAAAGACAAAAAAAAGAGAGAAAAAAGAAAAGAAAAAAAATAAAAAGAACAAAGAGAAAAATAAAAGAAGACAGAAAACCAAAAAAAAACATAAATGTGGTCTTATCACTTGTGCCTATCCCAGGTGCAAGAAATGTGTGCTCTGTATTAAAAACCATACTTTTAAAACAGAAAAGGAAGAATGTGACACCCCAAGTAGACAGAGCTGTATTTACCCTCAGTTTTTTGAATTTAGATCAACAAGTACTGAATAAAAACCCACAAGAAGACACCTAATGACAAGATCCTATCGTGTTCAGTGTGGGGAAGGGCTGTGCTTGTGTTCTGTCTCCCACAGTACCCTGTTGGCTTCCAGCCCCTCTGATGGAACCTTATCCTGAGTGGACACGGCCCGCAATCCGATCCTGCAGATGCAGAGGCTGTCCCTCAAGAATCCTGGGAGGAGGCAGGGAATGCTGAGCAGAGCAAGCCCTGCCCGGATGTCCCATCAGGAAGACACTGTTCTAGGGGGAATTCACTGGGTCTACCAACTCTTCCTGACTGGTTTAATGACTCAGTCGTGGTGTGTCCTTGTCACTCAGATCCCTTCTTGGCCGCACCTGACGTTGTGATTCGTGTGACTGACAATACCTTTAACACCCCTGTAAGTAATCCTTGTTATTTCAGAGTTATCACAGATCAAAACGTACCTGCCCTCCATTTATCATTAATAATTCCCGTGGGCAGAAGATCCAAACTGGGGCTCCCAGGGAACCTAAGCAGAAGCTGGGAGGATGATGCAGGATACAGTGAATTAAGGAAACTGTGAAATGCAGAAATCCTCAGTGGATGGATGATTGCTTGGATCATCTCTGCAGCAATCCCGGCAGCTACCGCAGCCACGGCTCCTGCTGCACTGGCCATTCAGTGCAGGCCATGCCTGCAGTGCCAGTGTATGGGCACTGTGGCAGCATCAGGAGCAGGGGTTCAGAATCTACCTGGTTTCAATATTCCAAGTCCTCTGGAAGTGCATGGGACAAGAAGACAAGAAGCCCGGGTCCTGGTCCTCTTGGCCGTGAACTCTGCGTGTCCAAACAAAACAGGGGCAGAGGTGGGACCAAGCGGAGTCACTCTGCACCTGCACTGAGTTCATGGGAATGCAAAGGGAGGATGGACCTTGGCTGAGTGCTTGGAGAGAGAGAAGGTTGTTTCTCCAAGTGGAAATGCACTTGAACCAGCCTGCATGACCAGCCTGTGTTTTTCTCTGGTGGCTGAACGCAGCCAGCACATGAGGGGAGGGGAATGTGTGGGATCAGGGCACTGCTTTGGGGCCATGCTGGGAATTCCAGTGGACTAAAAGACAAAACAGCGGGTGCTGCTCACGGGAGAAGAGGAATAAAAGGGGACACGGAAAAGTGTCAGTGTACAAGTCCCACAATGGAACTCTGTGAGGGCAGTCTCATTTTCTCCTTCAGCGCCCACAGGAGAGGGGGAAAAAAGTGGGGTTTGGGACCCCAAAACTGTTCATGGGGGAAACTGGGGACTGAGGGGACAATGGGAAAGTGGAAGGAACACGGAGAAGGGTGGAAAAGGAGGGATGGTCTGGCGGGTCTGACGGTCCCATGGGGGTCTTTGGACACAGAGGGGTTGGCAAAGGGGAGTGGTCCCCTGAGCTCCCAACTTCCTGTGGGGTGCTGGGGGCTGATGGATCCAATCTCAGCCTTGGATTATGCCAACACTTTCAGTTTAGAGGAATTGGAGAGGTGTGACTGAACCACTTTTGTCCCCCAGGTTTTAATGATGGTATATCAGATCTATTGATAGAAATGAGTTATTTAGGGTTACAAATGATCTGACAAAAGATCTTCATCAGAATTATTTACTGCACAATAGAAACACTAAAACTACCAGTAGTACAGGATAAGATAGGACAGTGCTCTACACTAAAGCAATTGTTGAAGCAATTCTACTCAAGCTGGCACAAAAGCAATAATTCTTAACTAGAGATGGATGGAACTCCCCCAGACCAATGCTGGTGGGGAGATCTCTGTTCTCAACCTCCAGCAGTGACCTTGGGGGGTCCCCAGCCAAGGTAGGAATCTCCACACAGCCCCCAAGAAGGGTTCTGTTGAAAGAAGCTGCCCAAAAGGGATGGACTGACAGTCACTGGACTCCAGGGGTTGCCTCCAAATGAGGGGCTTCATTTGGGGTGGAAGCAGCAGCAGAAGCTCTTCCAGCAGTCGGAGCACTAGGGCTTCTTTTATTGGTGGGTCCTTTGGTGTTTGGTCAAGGTAGAGCTGTGGGTGAAGCTCTTTCCACACTCCCCACACTTGTAGGGCCTCTCCCCGCTGTGGATGCGCCGGTGGGTGACGAGGGTGGAGTTCCGGTTGAAGCCCTTCCCGCAGTCGGTGCAGCGGAAGGGCCTCTCATCCGTGTGTGTCCGCTGGTGCAAGAGGAGACTCCCACTGGTCTGAAACCTCTTCCCACATTCCAAACAGTTGTAGGGTCGTTCCCCAGTGTGGATGCACCGGTGGGTCAGGAGGTTGGAGTTCTGGTTGAAGCCCTTCCCGCAGTCGGTGCAGCGGAAGGGCCTCTCATCCGTGTGCGTTCGCTCATGCAGGAGGAGATGTGAGCTCGTCTGAAACCTCTTCCCACATTCAAAACACTTGTAGGGTCGTTCCCCAGTGTGGATGAGTTGGTGGGTGTGGAGGTGGGACCTCTGGGTAAAGTTCTTCCCACATTCCCCACACGTGTAGGGCCGTTCCCCAGTGTGGATGCGCTGGTGGCGGATCAAGGTGGAGCTGTCTCTGAAGCTCTTCCCACATACCCTACATATATAGGGCCGTTCACCAGTGTGGATGTGCTGGTGCTTGAGGAGGTCAGTGCTTTTCCTGAAGCTCTTCCCACATTCCAAGCATTTGAAGGGCTTCTCCCAGCTTGGAGGCTGCTCAGGGACCACCAGCTCAGAGCTCCCCCTCAAGCTCCTGCCACCTTCCCGGCACAGGCTGGCTCTTTCCTCCTCAGAGCACCCTGGGATGGCTTTGGAGCCCCTCCTGCGGGGGGATCTCCGGCCCTTTTCCTCCCCGCTGCCTTCCTGCGCCGGGGAGCCCTTCAAAACGGCCTCTCCCACCAGGGTCTCACGGGGGGATTTGTCCTCCGGGCTCTCCGTCTTCACCTCGGGGCCTGGGGCAGGAAGCAAGAAGGACAGGCAGGGGATTTGCCTCCGGCCCACAGGGAAGGCCAAGGACATCCCCCCAACTCCGGCCCCGGCAGGACGGCGGCGCCAGCGGGGTTGTCCTGCAGCCGGGGCCATGCTCGGCTGACAGAGCCAGCACAACACCCGCCCAAAGGGACACTGACTTCCTCCTCACCTGCCTGGGGGGACCAAGGCATCTTCCTCTTCCTCGCAGCCTCCTCCTCCATCCGCCCAAGCTTTGGGAAGGACAAATCCTGATGGGGGGGAAAACAAGGGTTGAGCGCGTTGGCTTGGGGGTTCCTCCTGCCCAAGTCCATCTCTAGAACTCACCAGGCATCCTGTGACCATAAAGACCTCCAAAACACCAAGATTCAGCCCAGAAAAACCCAAACCACCAAGATTCACACAAAAATTACTCAGAAATAGCAAGAAGACCCTTACCCCCCCTCAAATTGCAAAAAGTTGAAATTTAGTTAGAAATACTCCAAAATATTAAAATTAGCCCAAAAAATCTCTCCCAGAAGTTCCCCGTCATTCATCTCTCCCCTCTGGAATTCAGAAGGTCTCTCCTCTCTGGGATGCTGAGGTCCCACTTAGGGATGCTGGGAGTGTTGGGGCTCCCAAGGGTCCCTTCTCTTCTGACTCTCGCCTTACGGGTCCCACATTCCCAGACATTCCCCCTCTCCAGGTTCTTCACTCTGTTGTCTCAGGGATCCCAGAGGTCCCTACTGTCCAGGCTTCCCCTTCTCCGTTCCCCCGTTTCAGGCTCCTGGGTTGCTTCTCTCGCCCCTTTCCCATCGTGGCCGCTCCACTCACCCGACAGCGGCAGGAAGGGCAGGGACAGGGGCAGAGCAGGAACACGAACAGCAGGAAAACAAGCACCTCCCCCCCATCCCGTGGGTACTCTGGAAGGGGGAACTCGTCCCAAATATCCTTGGGGGAGCACAGGGGATCGTGACATACTGGGGCTGCCAGCACAGATTTCCCTGCAAAGTCTGCAGTGAGTCAAGCTCTGCAGAGGAGATTGTGCCCCATGGATGGGATTGCAGAGGGGCCCTCAGGTCCCCAGCAGGAATCAGCAACCAGGAATAGACACAAAAGGCCCCCCCAAAGAGTTCTGGGGGAGTGTCCTGCAGGGAGGGGACAGTGCCACACCACCAGGGCACGGTTGGCAAGTGGGAGGTTGCTCCAGGGGTCTGCAAGAGGCCTCGTGCTCTGCTCGGTCCCACCACTGCCTGGTACCAACACCCCCGGCTGCCCCTGGCCCTGGGCAGCTCTGCTGCCACAGGCTGTGCCCTCACCGTGGCCCTGCAATGGCCCTGCCTGTCCCTCACCCGTGGCCCTGCCCATGGCCCTGTCCCTTGGCTCTCTCTCTGCCAGCTCAGTGTGGGGTACACGGGCTGGGGGTCCCTCCCAAGCCCCCCGGGCAGCCGGCGTTGGCTGGGGGGATGTGAGGGCTGGGCCTGCTCAGCACAGCCCCGGCCTCGTGCCCAGCGCCTCTTTCCTGACCCACACAAGACCTTCCCGGCCCCCCCAGGGCTCCCCTGCTGCTGCCTCTGCTCCTGGCCCTGCCTTTGCTGCTCCCTTGGCTGGGGCAGCGGCTGCAGGGGGGGATGGCAGCAGCTTCAGCTCCACGGCACTTCCTGGGGGAGCTCAGCCCGGGGGGACGGGCAGGGACCTGATGGGGATGGACAGGGGCCCAGCAGGGACAGACAGGGCCTGCAGGGGAAGGCACAGGGACAACCTGGCCCCCCACACTGCCACCGCTGTCTCTGCTCCTCCTTGCAGGCTCCGTGGCCAGGCACAGTTTGTGTTCCTGGGTGCCCACCATCTCAGCACTTGGAGACGCTCAAATCTGCGCCCGCAGCTCTGCAGCAAAGCCCCAGCTCACCTGGCACACAGGGGATGGACACAGCACCTGCTCGGGGATGGGCACTCACAGCTTCTGTCTCTTCCCAACCACGGGGCTCTCCTTCCTCAGCAGCACCTCTGCCTTGCACTTAGTCTCACCTCAGGGACACCTCTGGCCACTTCTCAGCCTCACCTCAGGGACAGCTCTGGGCTCACCTCCACGCCACTTCTCAGCCTCACCTCAGGGCCTGGGCTCAAGGACAGGAACCTGTAGGGAGGGGACATCATGTGCAAGCTGAGGGCTGCCTGCTTGCACTGGCCTCTGGGCTTCTTTCTCTTTCTACAACCATCCCACAACTCAGCCTGCTTTTCTAACACCACACATTTACAGACTAACCTTGGAGATAGATATGGACAGACATCTCTATCACCCTGGGGATAGAGCCTCAAGCATGTGCTGCCATAGGAATGGCAATCACAGAATCACAGAATCAGCCACGTTGGAAAAGACCTCCAAGATCATCAAGTCCAACCCTGGATCCAACCCCGCCGTGCTTCCCAGACCATGGCACTGAGGCCACATCCACTCTCACCTTCAACACCTCCAGGGACGCTGACTCCACCCCCTCCCTGCCCAGACCATTCCAAGGCCTGAGTGCTCTCTAGACAAAAAATTGCTTCCTAATATACAACCTAAACCTCCCCTGGCACAGCTCAAGACCCAGCCCTCTTGTCCTACTGCTGCTTCCTGGCAGAGCAGCCCCACCCCCACCTGGCTCCAACCTCCTGGCAGGGACTTGCAGAGAGTGATGATTCATCCTGGGGACCTGAGGGAGCCTCTGCAATCCCATCCATGGTGCACAATCTCCTCTCCAGAGCTTGACTCACTGCTGACTTGGCAGGGAAATCTCTGCTTGCAGCTGCATCCTGAGCCCAAGGTCAGTTTGTATCCACAAGTGCTGATCCAATGGGTGCCCTGGGATTGGAGCCTGGGCTCTAATTAACCTCTCTTGTGCTACCAAACAGCAGGATCTGTATGGCCAAGGGACAAACTGTGACCCCTGTCAGTGTCCATGGTCCCTGTCAGTGTCCTTCAGGGAAATTGGGAGGAGGAAATGAAGAAACTGGTTTGGAACTAAACCCACATTAAAGTAGGAAAAACCTCCTTCCATGCAAATAAAACTTAGACAGTTTTTCCTGGGCTGCATGAGCTCATTCAGGGATGAAGGACTGGGACTTCTGTGGACACTTGTGCTGGTTTCTTTGGACACTTGTGTTCCTTCAGAGAGCCCCTGGAAACACTCGGCTGTTCACTCCCAGTGCCACCAGTGCCTGGGTCCTGTCTGCAGCAGCAGATTGCAGTGGGACTGGAGAAATGCTTTTCTGAGCCTCTGGGCTGGACACAGGCACAGCCTGACCCTGAACCCAAGGGAAACAAAGACAAATTCCACAGCTTTAGCTGGACCAAGGTTAGGCGGGTTTCCTGAGGGCAGCACTACACCTGCAGACTTTTGTGTGTGTGTGTGAGACAGGCAGAAGCACAAATGCCTGCAGAGCCCAGAGCAGTCAGTGTGGGGCTGTGCTTGCTGCTGCAGAGACCCCCAGGGAACAAACCCAGGCAGTAGTTTGGGTTTATTCCTTGCTCTGTGTCAGTGGAATAGAATGTTCCACAGGAGCTCTGTCCCCCTCTGTGGCACTCGGTGGCTTGAAGCTGAAGAGAGAGGGGGGTCAAGTGCATGTTCCCTTCTGAAGTGTGTGTCCCTAAGGAGGACACTTGCCTTATTATTGCTTATTATGTGTAATATCTTACAGATATATCATACAATACCTAAAGATGGATTCTATACAATATGTGCCATATATATGATACAGAATATATCTGATTATTGCTTTATCTGTCTGTCCAGACAGATATTGTGTATGCAGAGAGATTGTATTTGAGGGATATGTTCCTCTCAATACCCTGTGAGCTCCACTCCCAAGGCCAGCAAATTCCTGAAGCTCCCCCTTCTGTGCCCTGCAGGTTTTGGCAGATTTGCAAGAGCAGGGGAATCATTCCCTGCAGCCCCTTTGCACTGTAGGAAATGGGAGCCCTGTGCACATCCTGCTGCCTCCAGATTCCATTCTGGGTGTGGGAAGGACCCTGTGGGGAGCAAAGAAATGCCTGGTTCTGCAGGAGCTGCAGATGCTCAAGGGGCAGCAGGACCAACTCAGGGGCCTGGGGGGGCCTGGGGGGCTTTGGGGTCTGGGATGGTCCTGGGGGAGCTGGGGAGGGGCTTTGGGGATTGGGGGTACAGACCAGGACAGACCAGAACAGACCAGCACAGACCAGGACAGACCATTACAGACCAGTACCTCCTCACTGCTCCCCGGATCTCTCCTGGAGCTGGGCCACGTTGTCGTGGGACACCTGAGCCCCCCCAGTGCCCTCCCAGTACAGTCCAGTGCCCCCAGTACAGCCCACTGTGTTCCTGTCCCAGGGTGCCAGGTGATCCCTCTTAGAGGGGGGTTGGAAGGGATTTGAAAGGGGGCTGGGGGAGATTTGGGGGGATCTGGGGGTGGTTGGAGGTGGTTTTGGGGGTCTTTGGGTGAGTTAAAACAAGTTCTGGGGGCATTGAGGCATCAAAGAGATCTGTGGAAGGAGGGGATTAAAAGGGAAAATGGAGGTTAGGAGACATTTGGGAGGGTTAAAGGGGCCTGGAGGGGCCCTCAAAACCCCTGAAATCCCCCCCTCGACACATCAAAACCTTCTCAAGGTCCCCTCAAATGCCCACAGAGACCTCATCCCTCCCCAGCACCCTCTAAACCCTCTCAGTAACCCGCAAAACCCACCTGGGACCCCCAGGTCCTCTTTAGGGACCCCCCAATCCCCCTCAGAGACCCTCAAAACCGTCTAAGACCCCGTAAACCCCCTAGAGACCCCAAAACTGCCTAAAAGGTCCCGCCAGCACCCCTAAACCTCCTCAGAGACCCCCAAAGTTCACCTGGCACCCCCCAAATCTCCTCAGAAACCAAAACCCCCTCAGAGACCCCCAAACCCCTTCAGGAACCTTCAACCACCCCCTGAGTCCCCTCAGGACACCGAACTCCCTCAGGGACCCCTCAAAACCTCCTCGGTTATCCCCGAACCCCCCCGCTAAACCCTCCCGATCCCCCCCCGGGGGACTCACAGCACTCAGAGCGAACCGCAGGCCCCGCCGCCAGCACCGATTCCCGGCTGCGCGCGCACCGCGTTCCGAGAACGCCGCCGCAGCCAATCAGCGCGCGGCTACGCCCCCGCAGCCCCGCCCCCGCCCCTGCCGCGTTGGCTGCCGGGAATCGGTGATGGCGGCGGGTCGGTCGGTGAGCTCTGAGTGCAGGCGGGGGGTGCGGGAGAGCGGGGTCTGGGGATCCCCTCGGGGGCTGCGGGGAGCGCGGCTGGGGGTGGAAAGGCTGGAGGGCTCGGGAGGGTTTAATGCGGGGGGTTCGGAGGTTCCCGAGGGTCAGAGCTCAGAGCCTTGGAACCCTCTCGGGGGCCGCGGGGCCCGGAGGCCTCCCAAGAACCCGGATGTTCGATTCGATTCCTGAAAAAGTTCCTCGGAAAAAAAATTCAAAACCACCCAACCAAAACAAGAACCCTAAAAAAAGGAAAAGTGAGAAAAAGGTGAAGGAAAAACTGCAAGGGCCAGGATGATTTTATTGCTTTCCTTCAGTTTTTCCTTGGTCTCCTCCTTCTCAGATTCTTTGCTCTCTTCCTTTACAGAAAGCTCTTCTGCTGTTCTGTGGTTTTGTGGTCCCTTAGGGGCTTTTAGAGGTCTCTGAGGAGGTTTTGGGGGGTCTCTGAGGAGCTTCGGTGTCGAGGGGGGAGGTTAAAGGTCCCTGAAGGGGTTTGGGAATCCCTGAGGGAGTTTTGGAGTCTCCGAGGGCTTTGGGGGGAGGGTCTTTGAAAGACTTTTGGAGGTTTCTAGGGGGATTTTGGGAGTCCCAGACGGTTTTGAGGGTCCCTGAGGGGGTTTTTGGGGTCCCTGAAAGGGCCTCGGGGGTCCCAGGTGGGTTTTGCAGGTCACTGAGAGGGCTTAGGGTGTCCTGGGGGGGAGATGAGGTCTCTGAGGGGATTTGAGGTGTCTTTGAGGAGGTTTTGATGGGTCCAGAGGTGCATGTCTGAGAGAATTTCAGGGGTTTTGCGTGGATTTTATGGGGTCTCCATGTCAGTCCTGTCTGGCCACGGCCAACTAAAACTCCTATGAGGCCATTTCCCATCCCCCCACAACACCTCTGCCAGCCCAACGGACCGGCCCCAGGGAAAGGGGATCCCAATTCCCCACTCGAACCCCAGAGACCCCCAAAACTCAGCATACAGAGACTCAGCATACAAAGACACACTTTAGGTGTCCCCTAAAGCCCAGCAGTGGGGTTCAGGGGATCTCCCAGCCCTCAGGGGAAGGGTCCTAGGGGTGCCCCCAAAGTGCGAGGGGGAGATGTACCACATCTGGATAAGGGGATCCCAGTGCCCCCAGTATATCCCAGTGACCTCCCAGTTACCCTCAGTGTGGCCCAGTAACCCCCTCAGTGACCACCCAGTGTATCCCAGTGACCTCCCACTGCCCCCCAGGATGGCCCAGTGATCCTGCAGTGAGCACCCAGTAACCCCCAGTATGGCCCAGTAACCTCCCAGTGTCTCCCTGTGTGTCCTGGTAAGCCCCCAGTAACTCCCCAGTCCCTCCCAGTGCCCCCTGGTTCCCCCCAGTGTGTCCCAGTATCCCCCAGTAATCACTCAGTGCCTCTCAAAGCCCCCCAACTGTCCCCAACGTGTCCCGAGATGCCCTTGGCCTTTCTGTGAGTGTGGGAGGCAGTGTGTTTTTGTGGTCAAAGGGTCCAGGGGGGCTTCTGGGGTGAGATGGAGGGTTGGGGACATCAGGGATGGGTTTGGGGACAATGGGGACAGTGGGGAGGGGTTTAGGGACAGTGGAATTAGGGATGTCAAGGGGAGAGTTGGGGCCATGGGGAGGCCCTGGGGACATTGGAGACACCAGGGGGGTCTCGGGGTGTTAAGGGGGGAACTGGGGACACCAAGAGGGTCTTGGGGACACCAGAGGGGTCTCAGGAATCACCTGTTCGTGGAGCTGCCCCTCCCCACCCAAGCCCCTTTAACCCACCCTAAATGTCCCCAATCTCCATTTTTCCTTAAATCCCCTCCTCCCATAGATCCCTTTGATGCCCCAATGCCCTCCAAACCCATTTTAACTCCCCTAAATGCACCCAAAGATCCCCAAAACTGCCCAAATCCCCATCCAACCACCCCCCAGATTGCCCCATTTCTCCTTCAGCCCCCCCTCAAATCCTTTCCACCCACCCCCTCCCCCCCCCAAAGAGGGATCACCTGGCACCCTGGGACAGGAACACAGTGGGCTGTACTGGGGGCACTGGGCTGTACTGGGAGGGCACTGGGAGAGGCTCAGGTGTCCCACGACAATGTGGCCCAGCTCCAGGAGAGATCTGGGGAGCAGTGAGGAGGTACTGGTCTGTCCTGGTCTGTACCCCCAATCCCCAAAGCCCCTCCCCAGCTCCCCCAGGACCCTCCCGCACCCCAAAGCCCCCCAGGCCCCTGAGTTGGTCCTGCTGCCCCTTGAGCATCTGCAGCTCCTGCAGAACCAGGCATTTCATCAGCAAATGTGCAGGTGACCCCAAGCTGGGGGTGTGTTGATGTGCTGGAAGGCAGGAGGGCTCTGCAGAGGGACCTGTGTGAGGAAGAGTGTGTCAGCAGGAGCAGGGAAGTGATTGTTGGGCTGGAGTGAGCGCTGGTGAGGCCACCCCTGGAGTGCTGTGTCCAGCTCTGGGCCCCTGAGTTGAGGAAGGCCCTGGAGGGGCTGGAGCAGGTGCAGAGAAGAGCAGCGAGGCTGGGGAAGGGAGTGGAGCACAAGTGGTGTGAGGAGAGGCTGAGGGAGCTGGGGGTGTTGAGGCTGGAGAAGAGGAGGCTCAGGGGAGACCTCCTGACTGTCTGCAAGTCCCTGCCAGGAAGTTGGAGCCAGGTGGGGGTGGGGCTGTTCTGCCAGGAAGCAGCAGTAGGACAAGAGGGCTGGGTCTTGAGCTGTGCCAGGGGAGGCTTAGGTTGGATATTAGGAAGCAATTTTTTGTCTAGAGAGTCATCAGGCCTTGGAATGTGCTGGGCAGGGAGGGGGTGGAGTCAGCGTCCCTGGAGGTGTTGAAGGTGAGAGTGGATGTGGCCTCAGTGCCATGGTCTGGGAAGCACGGCGGGATTGGATCAAGGGTTGGACTTGATGATCTCGGAGGTCTTTTCCAACCCAGCTGATTCTGTGATTCTCTTGATTCCCATTCCTATGGCAGCACATGCTTGAGGCTCTATCCCCAGGGTGATAGAGATGTCTGTCCATACATATCTCCAAGGTTAGTGTGTAAATGTGTGGTGTTAGAAAATCAGGCTAAGTTCTGGGCTGGTTGTAGAAAGAGAAAGAAGCCCAGAGGCCAGTGCAAGCAGGCAGCCCTCAGCTTGCACCTGATGTCCCCTCCCTGCAGGTTCCTGTCCTTGAGCCCAGGCCCTGAGGTGAGGCTGAGAAGTGGCGCGGAGGTGAGCCCAGAGCTGTCCCTGAGGTGAGGCTGAGAATAAGTGCAAGGCAGAGGTGCTGCTGAGGAAGGAGAGCCCCGTGGTTGGGAAGAGACAGAAACTGTGAGTGCCCATCCCCAAGAAGGTGCTGTCTCCATCCCCCGTGTGCCAGATGAGCTGGGGCTTTGCTGCAGAGCTGCGGGCGCTGATTTGAGCGTCTCCAAGTGCTGAGATGGTGGGCACCCAGGAACACAAACTGTGCCTGGCCACGGAGCCTGCAAGGAGGAGCAGAGACAGCCCTGGCAGTGTGGGGGCCAGGTTGTCCCTGTGCCTTCCCCTGCAGGCCCTGTCTGTCCCTGCTGGGCCCCTGTCCATCCCCATCAGGTCCCTGCCCGTCCCCCCGGGCTGAGCTCCCCCCAGGAAGTGCCGTGGAGCTGAAGCTGCTGCCATCCCCCCCTGCAGCCGCTGCCCCAGCCAAGGGAGCAGCAAAGGCAGGGCCAGGAGCAGAGGCAGCAGCAGGGGAGCCCTGGGGGGGCCGGGAAGGTCTTGTGTGGGTCAGGAAAGAGGCGCTGGGCATGAGGCCGGGGCTGTGCTGAGCAGGCCCAGCCCTCACATCCCCCCAGCCAACGCTGACTGCCCGGGGGGCTTGGGAGGGACCCCCAACCCGTGTGCCCCACACTGAGCTGGCAGAGAGAGAGCCAAGGGACAGGGTTACTTGCCTTGAACCCTGGAGAGTGGGGGAGGCTGTGAGAGCTCTGAGAGCCTTTAGAGGGGGGAGCTCTGGCCCCCTGTGCCGAGCCAGCGCTCGGGGCTGTGCTGTTGGTGCCAAATTGCCCCTGGTCACGCTGAACCCAGAGCCCTCTCACGTGTCAGAGGGCCCGATCCGCTTCCTGCTCTCATTGCCCTGGGGCTGCCTCTGGTGTCCCGTGACCTATAGGGCTGTTTGGTTGCCTTGGGCACAGCCGGCCCTTGTGCAGGGCTGTGCCCTGGGTGGCACTTGAAGGCGGGCAGGAGGTTTTTTTTTGGGGGTTCCGGGCTGGGTTGGCAGCAGATCCCCGGCGGTGGGTGGGGGGATGCGGGTCCCCCCCCACGGTGGGGGTTGGTGTTGCTGGGTCAGGCCCCGCTGGCTCCATTGTCAGCCCGGTGCCGGCGGGGGGGACACAGCGGGTTTGGGGCCCCCCGGGAGTGCCGGGGGTGGGTGTGGAGCCCAGGAGCTGCCGATTGTGGAGGGCGGAGCGGGGCAATGCCGGAGCTGGGGGACCCCCGGGAGCCTGGAAAGGGGAGCACAGGGAAGGGAAAGCCCTGACAGTGGGGACCCCTGGGATCCCCAGGACAACAAAGAACTTGGAGAGAGGGAATGTCTGGGAACTCGGCATCCCGAAGGCGAGAGTCAGAGGAGAAGCGACCCTTGGGAACCCCAACGCTCCCAGCATCCCTGAGTGGGACCCCCAGCATCTCAGGGAAGCTATTCCCAACCCCAGAGGGGACAGACCAGAGACGGGTAAGTCCTGGGAGAATTTCTTTGGGTTAACCTTTGTATTTTGGAGTAATTTCTTAGCTGAACCTCAACTTTTTGCAGTTTGGGTGGATGAGGGTCTTCTTGCTATTTTTGAGAGGGTTTTTGCCTGAATCTCAGAGGTTTGGGTTTTTCTGGGCTGAATCTTGGTGTTTTGGAGGTTTTTATGGACACAGGATGCCTGGTGAGTTCTAGAGATGGACTTGGGCAGGAGGAACCCCCAAGCCAACACGCTCAACCCTTGTTTTCCCCCCCATCAGGATTTGTCCTTCCCAAAGCTTGGGCGGATGGAGGAGGAGGCTGCGAGGAAGAGGAAGATGCCTTGGTCCCCCCAGGCAGGTGAGGAGGAAGTCAGTGTCCCTTTGGGCGGGTGTTGTGCTGGCTCTGTCAGCCGAGCATGGCCCCGGCTGCAGGACAACCCCGCTGGCGCCGCCGTCCTGCCGGGGCCGGAGTTGGGGGGATGTCCTTGGCCTTCCCTGTGGGCCGGAGGCAAATCCCCTGCCTGTCCTTCTTGCTTCCTGCCCCAGGCCCCGAGGTGAGGACGGAGAGCCCGGAGGACAAATCCCCCCGTGAGACCCTGGTGGGAGAGGCCGTTTTGAAGGGCTCCCCGGCGCAGGAAGGCAGCGGGGAGGAAAAGGGCCGGAGATCCCCCCACAGGAGGGGCTCCAAAGCCATCCCAGGGTGCTCTGAGGAGGAAAGAGCCAGCCTGTGCCGGGAAGGCGGCCGGAGCTTGAGGGGGAGCTGTGACCTGGTGGTCCCTGAGCAGCCTCCCAGCAGTGAGAAGCCCTTCAAGTGTTTGGAATGTGGGAAGAGCTTCAGGAAGAGCGCCCACCTGCTCCGACACCAGCACATCCACACTGGAGAACGTCCCTACACGTGTGGGGAATGTGGGAAGAGCTTCAGTAACAGCTCCAACCTCCTGACTCACCAGCACATCCACACGGGGGAACAGCCATACACGTGTGGGGAATGTGGGAAGAGCTTCAACCAAAGCTCCAACCTGATCCGACACCAGGCCATCCACACTGGGGAACGGCCCTATACGTGTGGGCAATGTGGGAAGTGCTTCAGTGACAGCTCCACCCTTCGCTCCCACCAGCACATCCACACTGGGGAACGGCCCTACAAGTGCTTGCAATGTGGGAAGAGGTTTCAGCGCAGCTCAACTCTCCTCAGGCATGAGCAGACACACACGGATGAGAGGCCCTTCCGCTGCACCGACTGCGGGAAAGGCTTCAGCCGGAACTTCACCCTCATCACCCACCGGCGCATCCACACCGGGGAAAGGCCCTACAAGTGTGAGGAGTGTGGGAAGAGCTTCACCCACAGCTCTACCTTGACCTCACACAAACAGACCCACCGGTAAGAGAAGCCCTACCAGTGCCCCGACTGCGGGAAGAGCTTCGGCCGCTGCTTCCACCCCGAATGAAACCCCTGATGGTGAGGCAACCCCTGGAGTCCAGTGACTGTCAGTCCATCCCTTTCTACCACAAAGGACCAGTCCCCTTTCACAGGGGCAGCTTCTTCCAACAGATCCCTTCTTGGGGGTGTGTGGAGATTCCTGCCTTAGCTGGGGACCCCCCAAGGTCAGTCCTGGAGGTTGAGAGCAGAGATCTCCCCACCAGCATTGGTCTGGGGGAGTTCCATCCATCTCTAGTTAAGAATTATTGCTTTTGTGCCAGCTTGAGTAGAATTGCTTCAACAATTGCTTTAGCATAGAACACTGTCTTATCTTATCCTGTACTACTGGTAGTTTTAGTGTTTCTATTGTGCAGTAAATAATTGTGATGAAGATCTTTTGTCTGATCATTTGTAACCCTAAATAACTCATTTCTATCAATAGATCTGATATGCCATCATTAAAACCTGGGGGACAAAAGTGGTTCAGTCACACCTCTCCAATTCCTCTAAACTGAAAGTGTTGGCATAATCCAAGGCTGAGATTGGATCCAGCAGCCCCCAGCACCCCACAGGAAGTTGGGAGCTCAGGGGGCCACCCTTTTATGCCAACCCCTCTGTGCCCAAAGACCCCCATGGGACCGTTGGACCCACCAAACCACCCCTCCTTTTCCACCCTTCTCCCTGTTCCTTCCACTTTCCCATTGTCCCCTCAGTCCCCAGTTTCCCCCATGAACAGTTTTGGGGTCCCAAACCCCACTTTTTACCCCCTTTCCTTTGGTTGTTGAAGGATAAAATGAGGCTGCACACACAGAGTTCCATTATGGGATATGTTTACCAACACTTTTCCGTGTCCCCTTTTATTCCTCCTCTCGTGAGCAGCACCCACTGTTTTGTCTTTTAGTCCATTGGAATTCCCAGCATGGCCCAAAAGCAGTGCCCTGATCCCACACATTCCCCTCCCCTCATGTGCTGCCTGTGTTCAGCCACCAGAGAAAAACACAGGCTGGTCATGCAGGCTGGTTCAAGTGCATTTCCACTTGGAGAAACAACCTTCTCTCTCTCCAAGCACTCAGCCAAGGACCATCCTCCCTTTGCATTCCCATGAACTCAGTGCAGGTGCAGAGTGACTCCGCTTGGTCCCACCTCTGCCCCTGTTTTGTTTGGACACGCAGAGTTCACGGCCAAGAGGACCAGGACCCGGACTTCTTGTCTTCTTGTCCCATGCACTTCCAGAGGACTTGGAATATTGAAACCAGGTAGATTCTGAACCCCTGCTCCTGATGCTGCCACAGTGCCCATACACTGGCACTGCAGGCATGGCCTGCACTGAATGGCCAGAGCAGCAGGAGCCGTGGCTGCGGTAGCTGCCGGGATTGCTGCAGAGATGATCCAAGCAATCATCCATCCACTGAGGATTTCTGCATTTCACAGTTTCCTTAATTCACTGTATCCTGCATCATCCTCCCAGCTTCTGCTTAGGTTCCCTGGGAGCCCCAGTTTGGATCTTCTGCCCACGGGAATTATTAATGATAAATGGAGGGCAGGTACGTTTTGATCTGTGATAACTCTGAAATAACAAGGATTACTTACAGGGGTGTTAAAGGTATTGTCAGTCACACGAATCACAACGTCAGGTGCGGCCAAGAAGGGATCTGAGTGACAAGGACACACCACGACTGAGTCATTAAACCAGTCAGGAAGAGTTGGTAGACCCAGTGAATTCCCCCTAGAACAGTGTCTTCCTGATGGGACATCCGGGCAGGGCTTGCTCTGCTCAGCATTCCCTGCCTCCTCCTGGGATTCTTGAGGGACAGCCTCTGCATCTGCAGGATCGGATTGCGGGCCGTGTCCACTCAGGATAAGGTTCCATCAGAGGGGCTGGAAGCCAACAGGGTCCTGTGGGAGACAGAACACAAGCACAACCCTTCCCCACACTGAACACGATAGGATCTTGTTATTAGGTGTCTTCTTGTGGGTTTTTATTCAGTACTTGTTGATCTAAATTCAAAAAACTGAGGGTAAATACAGCTCTGTCTACTTGGGGTGTCACATTCTTCCTTTTCTGTTTTAAAAGTATGGTTTTTAATACAGAGCACACATTTCTTGCACCTGGGATAGGCACAAGTGATAAGACCACATTTATTTCTTTTTGGTTTTCTGTCTTCTTTTATTTTTCTCTTTTTACTTTTTAGTTTTTTTCTTTTTCTTCTCTCTTTTTTTCTTCTTTTTTCTTTTTTTTCATTTTTTTCCTTTTTTCTTTTTTCTTTCTTTTTTCCTTCTTTTTTCTCTCTTTTTCCTTTTTTTCTTTTTTCTTTTTTTCCTTTCTTATTTCTTATTTTTCTCCTTTTTTCTTATTTCTTATTTTTCTCCTTTTTCTCATTGTTTTTTCTATTCCTTTTTTTTCTTTATTCCTTTTTTTTCTTTTTTTTTTTCTTCTTTTTTTCCTTTTTTTTTCTTTTACATTGTTTTCTATCAGTTGTATTTTCAAGGAAGATTTAAACACATATCAAAACAATCTCCATGTACCTATCTTATGACAACAGATAATCCAAAGCAGTGCCCTGATCCCACACATTCCCCTCCCCTCATGTGCTGCCTGTGTTCAACCACCAGAGAAAAACACAGGCTACCATGCAGAGTGTTCCAAGTGGTTTCCACTTTAGCAAACAGCACTCTCTGGATGGAAAACACCAGTCAAGGCCAAAACACTCCTTGTTGATCCTGATTAACTGAATGCAGCTGCTGCTGCCTTAACTTGTTCTCACAAAACTTCTCAGGGTTTCTTTGCTTCTAGGAGGCCCCATATGTCCCAATGGACCCTTGATTCCATGGGGTTCCAAACTGTCTCAGGAATCCTTTGGTTCTATGAGGCCCTGCATATCCTGATGACCCCTTGGTTCCATGAGGATGCACAGTCTCAGAATTCCTTGGCTTCAGTGAGGCTTTGTAGTGTCCCAATGGCCCCTTGATTCCAGGAGTTTCCATAGTGTCCCAATGGCCCCTTGGTTCCACGAGGCCCTGCAGTGTCCTAATGGCCTCCTGATTCCACAAGGTTCCGCAGTGTCCCTGTGTTCCTTTAGTTCCCTGAGGGTCCGCAGTGGAACAGGGTCCCTTTGGGGCCATAAGGCCCTGCAGGATCACAATGGCCCCTTGATTCCATGAGGTTCCAATTTGTCCATGGGTTCCCTTGGCTCCATAGGGCCCTGTAGTGCCAAACTGGCCCCTGGATTCCATGAGTTTCCACAGTGTCCTTGGGTCCATAGGGCTTTCAGTGTCACAATGCCTCTTTGATTTGCAGTGTCCCAGAGTTTCCTTGTTTCCATGAGGCACCGCAGTGATACAACGCCCCCCTGGTTCCATGAGGTTCCAAAATATTTCAGGGTTCCTTTTGTTCTACAAGGCCCCAGACGTTAAATGGTCCCCTGGTTCCACAAGATTTCACAGTGTCCCTTTGTTCCTTTCTTTCCATGAGGCCCTGCGGTGCCACAATGGCCCCTTGATTCCATGAGGTTGCACAGTGTCATCACAGAGCTGAGCCCACCCAGATGGAATTTTGGGGGAGATTAGGAGGAACTGAGACAAAAAGGATTGGATATTTAGGGAAGGAAAGAGGGGCTTATCCAACAGAGGGGAACGATTTTTATGAGGTAAAACCAGGTTCAGTTAAGGCTGAGGGTGCTGAAACACTGACTGTGCAAACACTCCTGATGAACTTTTACACTGTTTCTGACCTCAAGCCCCAATCCAAAAGTGCTGCCGCACCCACTGAAAGGAATCCACTGCTCTAATCGCAAGCTCAACCTGACCTCAAAGGCAAAGCCCAAACTCAGAACTCCAGACTCTTATTTGTCCTCTAATGCCCACCCCAATCCCAAACCTGCACTGTTGGTATGAAAAGCCAAGCTTTAATCCTAACCCAGCCCAAAACCCTAATCATGAACCAGACACTGCCAGCAGAACAACAAACCTCCCAAAGTTCTGCCTGATCCCCACCCTGAGCTCTAAACCCCAAGCCCTGACCATTCAGCACCCCCACAGCCCTTGGGAGCAGGGCAAGGACCTGGAAGGCTCAGAGCAGGCCCAGGGGGTTGGCAGAGGAATGGGAGGTGACCTGGATCTGCTCAGCTCTGCAGTGACCCCCAGGAGAAGGGCCTGGGCTCTGGCAGGGATGTCCTGTGGCACAGGGGCTCAGGATCCAAGTTCAGAAGGCCAAGTGCACATGGCAACAGCCAGAGCTGGTGCAGAGCCATCAGGGAGGGTCTAGAAATGCTGCTGGGAGGGGGTGGGAAAGCAGGAGGGGTGTGTGCAGCCTGCAAGGCCAGAGCAGCAGCAGGGCCAGGGCAGGACAGCCTGCAGGAGAGATGGCCAAGGGCTCTGGCAGGGCTGCAAGGCCCAAAGGCACCCAGGCCTTTGTCCCCTTGCCTCTGGCAGCTGCCTCTGCCACTCAGGCCACCACAAGCCACTTTCCTGGCAGGTTCTGCCCTTGGGTTCTGCCTCGCCCCTCCCTCAGGAGCCTGGCAGGGGTTGCCCAGTTTTGGGCCTTTGTTGTTCCTCCCCCTCCCATCCCAGTGCCCCCCAAACAGCCCTGAGCCAGCCGGGAGGGACAGGATCTGCTGGGCCAGGGCCTGGGGCTCAGGCCTTGGCCTTTGTGCTCCACAAAACCAAGGCAGGCTTTGCTCAGCATTGCAGGGGCCTGCCCAGAGCCTTTGTCTACCTGCACTCCTGGCCTCCAAGGAGCTGCTCCAAGGAGTCCCTGGGGAGGCTTTGGCAGTGCCTGTCCTCAGCGGCCCAGCAATGCTTCGAGGGACTTGAAGTTTGGCTTCTGACTTCTTCAGCAGCTGCTTCAAGCTTCTCTCAGTACCTCAGGACCATGGGCTGGGCTGCAAACACACCGTGGGGCTCATTAAAATCCAGAAATCCCTCAGGATCTCTTTGTTTTCCTTTAATTGTCTTCAAGGCCATTTCAAAACAAGTCTTCAAAGTTTGTACTTTTTTTTTTAGTTCAATTATGGATATTTTTTATATCAGGGAGGAGGTGATAGAGGTGTTCTCCAAGTGATCTTGATGCTGAGTGTCTCCTCAGGAGATCCACACTGACCCTGGATGATCAACCTTGCTCCTCACCCCCCAACCTCACCGGTTCTGACATGGCCCATCTTGGACTGACACCTGATGCAGCTCCAAACACACTGTGGGACCCATTAAAACACTGAAAAACAAATTTTTTTTCTTCCTTTTATTGTCTTCAAGACTACTACAGCTAATTGGAGTTGTTTTGTAGTTTAGCTAAGCAAGAAGATTTTAAAGTCACTAAAAATAATTTTTTTGATGAAAGGGAATGATTTACACAGAGCCTTGGGATGCAAGAGGGTCAGAACACAAAGGATTTGGATCCAAAGATAAGGGGGCAAAAGAGATTAGTAGCACTTAATCATTGACCAATTGAACAGTTATCAACTGGTTCAATAGCATTTGCTACAATTTTAACAGTGACTGAATTACAGATTCACAATAACAACATTCATCATCATCATGGCTGGGCTTCGCGAACGAAGATTTGGGAAGGCTCCATCCACAGTTGTTACAGGCACGCTGGTGGCTAATGAAGCCAACATGAGATAGACATAACGGATTGCAAAAGGCACAGTAGAAAGACTCCTTAGATGGTAAATTCTGCAAGACACGGTTCTTTCTGCGTTGCCTTTTCTCCTCAAGGGTGATCCTGTGTGCATTCTCAAAGGAGACAGCTGAGTTATAGATGGGGTGTCTCCAGACCTCCCGACTGGAGGTCAGAGTAGACCAGTTATGGTGATCAATATGGCCAAGGCTGAGATGTTGTTTCAGGGAGTCCTTGTATCTTTTCTTCGGGGCTCCTCTCTTGCAGCAGCCGGTGGCAAGTTCACCATAAAGCAGGATCTTAGGGAGGTGGTGGTCCTTCATTCTGGAGACGTGCCCTGCCCATCGCAGCTGTGTTCTCATCAGCATGGCCTCAATACTTGTGATAGCTGCTTGCTCTAGAACAGATGTGTTGGTCACATAATCTGACCAGTGGATGTTTAGGATTGTGCGGAAGCAGCGTTGATGGAAGCGTTCTAAGAGACGCAGGTAGTGGCAGTAGATGACCCATGATTCAGAGCCATATAAGAGAGTCGACAACACTATGGCTTTGTAAACACTGATCTTGGTGCTTTTCTTCAAGTGTTTATTACGCCATACTCTTTTGTGGAGTTTTCCAAAAGCACTATATGCCTTTGCTAATCTGTTGTCTATCTCTCCGTCGATCTTACCATCCAAGGAGATGAGGCTGCCTAGGTAATTAAACTGCTGGACTGATTTGAGCTCTGATTCGCCAATGGCGATATGGGGATGATGGAAGACTTCCTGAGGTGCTGGTTGATAGAGAACTTCTGTCTTCTTTAAGCTGACTTCCAGCCCAAAGAGATCAGCAGTGTCTGCAAAGCAGGATGCTAAACGCTGCAGAGCTGCTTCTGTGTGTGCAACAAGGGCGGCGTCATCAGCATAAAGCAGCTCCCAGACAAGATGATTTAAGGTCTTAGTGTGGGCCTTCAGTTGCCTTAGGTTGAAAAGGCTTCCATCAGTACGGTATCGAATGTAGATACCGTCCTGATCCTCGAGGTCTGCCATGGCCCTTTGGAGCATCCTGCTGAAAAAGACTGTATCCCAGTTCACAGAATCACAGAATTAATTAGGTTGGAAAAGATCTCAGAAATGATCAACTCCAACTTATAACCCAACACCACCATGTCAACTAGACCATGGCATCAAGTGCCACATCCAGTTGTTTCTTAAACACCTCCAAGGACCACCTCCCTGGGCAGTCCATTCCCACATCTAATCACGCTTTCAGTGAAGAAATTCTTCCTCATGTCCACCCTAAACCTCCCCTGGTGCAGCTTAAGACTGTGTCCTGTTGTCCTGTCACTTGTTGCCTGGGAGAAGAGGCCGATCCCCACAGGCTACAACCTCCTTTAAGGTGGTTGTAGAGAGTGACAAGGTCTCCCCTGAGCCTCCCTTTCTGCAGCTTAAACCCCCCCAGCTCCCTCAGCCGCTCCTCACAGGACATGCACTGCAGATCCTTCACCAGCTCTGTTGCCCTTCTCTGGACCTGCTGCAGCACCTCAATGTCCTTCCTAAACTGAGGGCTCCAGAACTGGACACAGAACTTGACGTGTGGCCTCCCCAGTGCTGAGTCCAGGGGGACAGTCACTGCTGTGAGAACGCTTCTGTTCCACGTTTTCACGGCGTTTGTGACAGATCAGACCAAGTGACCTTACGGGGATGGTTCTACCCCTGGCACAGGCGGTGCAAGCCCAGCAGTTGTTCCACGGGACGTGCTGAGGGAGAAAAGCGGTTCCGTGTGCGGAACAGCCGCGCTCCTGAGCGGCCCCGAAGGCCCCCGGCACCCGCTGCCGGGCAGCGCCGGGGGCGGGAGCTCCGGGATCGCCGCCGGGAGAGCGCGTCCTGCTCCCCGCGGCCCTTCCTGCCGGGCCGGAGCCGGCCGGGGGTGCCGGGTCGGCGGGGAGCGCTGCCGCCGCTGCCGGGGCCGGGAGCGACCGCGAGGCACCGCCGCCCGAGCCGCTCCTCGGGCGAGGCGAAGCCGAAGCGCCCCCGCCCCGGCTCCCCGCCCGCAGCGGGACGGTGAGTGCCCGCCCGGGGCACCCGCCGGGGCCGCCCCGCCTGGGCCCTGCGCGGCCCGGCCGCCGCCTCGGGAGGGGCGGGAGCGGCGGGGGGGCCGCGGGACGGGCCCTGTGCACGGGCTGTGTCCGTGTGTGGGGGGACACGGCTGGGCGGGGGCACCGCGGGGTGTCCCTGGGCCAGGGACGTGTCACAGAACCGCGGGATGGGGCGAGTGGGAAGGGACCTTGAAGATCATCCAGTTCCAGCCCCCCAACACCTGCAGTGGAAGGCTCGGAGCCTCGTTCCCCCGGCCTTGAACGCTGTCCTTCAGCGTGCAGGGATACACGGCTGTGTTTTGGTGCAGCGTTTGTACAGGTGTGTCTATGCACACATGTATTACAGTGTGAAGCTGTGCAAGACCCTCCCTGGGCACTACCCTGTACCTTTGTACGTGTGTACACCTGTGCCTGTGGTTGTTTCCCGTGTGTAGAAGCTCATCCCATAAGTGGTTGCACACAATGTCATGTAAGGCAGGGCTCTGCTGACATCCTCCTGGGTAGTTTCAGTGTTGCCATCTGAGAACTTCCCTGCTCTGATTTCACCAGCTAACTCCTGCCGTGCCAAGTCGTGGCAAGGCAGAGGCAGGAGCAAGAAAACCAGTCTCTCTGTCCAATAGAGAAGGTGGGAGGGTGGGAGGGCAATTCCCTCTTGGGATGGATTCTGCTGATGAAGAGTGTTCTGTCTCTTTTGGGCTGTAGGGTTGCTGCAGGGTTGCTGCCAAAGGTGTGTGCAGACGGACAGATAAACAAGGTCAAGATGACCAAGTAAGAAATTATGAGGAAACACACGGCAGAACACTTTACAACCGTTGTAATCTTGGCCTGCCTGAAAAGAAGATGAAGAAGAAGTTTTAAGATTTGTCCTGTAATTTCATAGTCTTTTTTTGACTTTAAAGTTTTTGAAGAAAACTAGGATGTTTTTGCAGCTCCTTCTGTTGTAAACTAATTTTAAAAGGTGAAAAAAGAACACAGAGGTCTTGAGTATTTGTCTCAGTAGTTAACAAAGTCCAGTGAAAGGTCAGTAATGGTTGGGATATTTCATTTTTTCATGGCCAGGCTTGCGAACGAAGATTTGGGAAGGCTCTATCCACATTTGTTACAGGCACGTTGGTGACTTATGAGGCCAATACGAGACAGACATATCCGATTGCAAAAGGCACAGTAGAAAGACTCTTTAGATGGTATATTCTGAAGAACACGGTTCTTTCTGCGTTGCCTTTTCTCCTCAAGAGTGATCCTGCGTGTGTTCTCAAAGGAGACAGCAGCGTTATAGATGGTGTGTCTCCAGACCTCCCGATTGGAGGCCAGAGTAGACCAGTTATGGTGATCAATATGGCCAAGGCTGAGATGTTGTTTCAGGGAGTCCTTGTATCTTTTCTTCGGGGTTCCTCTCTTGCGGCAGCCGGTGGCAAGTTCACCATAAAGCAAGATCTTAAGGAGGCGGTAAAACGAGAAGATGCAAAAAACGAGCTCGAGAGTCAGAGACACATCCTCATAGAGGTACAGGCAATGCTCTCACTTTATTCCAAAAATACACACATTATCAAGGGTCCTACAGGGTTCACACGCTCTATTCTAACTTTCTATTGGTTACATTTACTTTCACACACTATATCTATAACTTCATTGGCTCTACTAGCCAAGGCACATTTCCAGGTCCCCCCATCTTCTGGTTTCTCACACCCTGGATAACAACATCCTTCCTTGTTTTCCTCTACGCAGCTTTCTGATATCTGCTGTTCAAGGACACACATCTGCTGCTGGAGAACACAGGTCCCTGCCGTCCAGCACGCAGGCCGGATCTGTGCAAGCAGGCCTGATGCAGTATATGTCCTGCATCATCTAAGATTTTCTCAACAATTCCCCCTTTTTCTTTTGCACAATCCAGGCCTGACTGATGGTCTTTTGCTTGGTTCATCTCTTTGTTCCATGTGGTTCTTGAGAACTTTTATTTTGCAAAATGAAACTTCATTTAACTCAGGGTTATTTGCCTCCCACTCTTTATCCAAAGGTGCTTATGCATATGTAAGGTAATATGGTTTACGCATTTGTGAGCAAAACCAGAATATATTAATAATCATATATTCATACATTCACATGCATACATTCACACAACTTTCATGCGTGATGGCCATCACTTCATGCTCTCACACAAACATACTTTTCAGTTGTATTTTACTGTGTTTTCTGGTTGTGAACTGAGAAATTATCATTCTTGTGTTTTGCCCTCATCTGAGTAAGATCTAATTATGCATTTCTTGTTTTTATGAAAGTATAACTTGGAAAACATAAACATATTTCTGCTTCACGTTCAATTCAAAACCCAAATACATACAAACATTCTTATAATTTAAAGATAAATATATACTCATATTTTTAAAGCAAAACACACACTTCTCTATGCAAATGGGCTTTTGGACTTCAAAGAGAACTTGTCAATAGTCACTACAAAAACTTCAAAAGCTCCACTTCTTTAAAACAATTCTGGCTATTTAGGCAAGCAACCTCAAGTAACAGTCAGCAAGACCATTTCATGAACTTATCTTTCCTCACTCCCCCCCCTTTTTTTTTTTTGTACTGAAATTAAACTGTTAGGTTAGTTGTTGCATAAATAAAAAGCTTAGCTTTGTTGACTTTGAGCTAAGTGTCCCGTGCAAGGACAGGTCTTTATATGATTTGCCTGTGGCATGCTGTATCTCAGGGGTCTGTCTTAACATCATCTTCTTTTTCACTGTTTCTGTCAAATGTTTTTGGAGAGTTGTCAACTAATAGCAAAATGCCAATTAATCTCAAGTTATACAAGATGGTTGTTTCAGGGACGAAGTTCCCATCTATCAGCACTTGCATCATCCAATTAAGCACAAATACATTCCCATCACATAGTCTGTGGTTGGACCACGCCATTGTTGAACAAGTTAAGCAGCATATTGATGAAAAACAAGGAAAACAACATAGAATATCTACAACAAAGGACTAATAGTAAAAGGGTAGGCAATAATCTCTTTGTAACCATATCCATCTTTAGTGAAGAGATCAGAATAGGCTCTAGCTGTTCCTGCTTCATTGGGTCAGCCAGGGGCACTTGCATGCTATGCCGTGGTTGCAGGTAATCATAATCTCTTTGCAGTCAGCATACAGGGGGTCAGCATCCTACTGTTGAATGTAGATGTAATCTCCAAGTTGGAATAGATGAACAGGAGCGTTTAATCTCACGGGTTCGGATTACAGAATGAATCTGTGGAATTTCTGCAAAATAGAGCCTAGACTATTAAACAATTTTCACAAAAGAGTTTCAAATTTCAGAATTTTTGTAACTTGACTGTACGAGAGGAATATAGGTTTTATAGTACGAAGTGGCTGGCTGTCAGTTACTAATAAAAGGCTGTGGTTGTTGTCCCGATTAATAGAAAAAATGAAAAAGCAACTAGAATAGTTTCCTTAATTTACTGTATTCTGCATCATCTTCCCAGCTTCTGGTCAAGCTCGCTGGAGCCACAGATTGGCTCCTCTATTCATGAGAATTACTAATGACAGATTGAGAATGAATACATTTTTATTTGTGACTCTTTTCATTAATTTTAATATTATCTCTAACTTTTTGTTTGTTTGTTTTTCCTTTAAATCTCTACTGTGGTATGTGACTCAGGTTTCAGTTTGCAGTGTTTCTCTTCTCCTCCCCCTATCCTGTAGGCAGGGAGATTCAAAGCGAGACGGGAGAGGGTTTTTAGATTTTTTGCCCTCCCTCCCACAAACTGTAAGGCAAAAATATTTCTTTCCCCAATCAGAAGATTGCAAAGTTGCAGCCTCTATAAAGCAGGAGGGTTCTACACCCCCCCTTTTTTTTTTTTTTCCCCGAGTTTGGCCAGAGGAGGTGTAATACTCAGTTGCTCGGCAACAAACGATCTCTATTGTGTGAGCCAGTAACACCTTATCTCTTTCTCTGCTAAGGCAAAGGCAAAGTTTTGCAAGAGGGCTTTTTATCCTTTTTGTCAAAACCTTGCTTGCTTTTTTTTGTTTGTTTTCTGTTTGTTTGTTTTTTGAATACGATATTTTTTCAGAAGGGTTTTATAGGGGTAAAACAGCTAAGAATAAGGCATTTCACTAAGATTTTCGTACAAATACTAATTTCCCGGAAAAATTCCCTAAAACTGTCTGCAGACTAGCTTGCAGGTAAACGCAAGTCTTTGGGTTTAAGTTACCTACGAGTGAGTAGAAGGACTAAAGAGAGAGATTTTGGTTTCTTTTCTCGACCACTTGGTTTTCTCTCTCACTGCAGCCTCTGCTGCTGTTCCCGCTCGCTCTCCCCCCCTACCCTCGCGGGGGGGAAGGGAGAGAACCCGCTGAAGTTGTTAGGTGTCTGTTCTCGCTGCTGCAGCCCCGAGCCGCCTCTCCGCCGCGGCTGCCGGCACCGGCGGCAGTTTGAATAATCTCAAAGGGAAATTCCTATGCTCCTATGTCATCCGAGACACCTCCCGGAACCTCATCCCTGGGTTTTAATAGTTACTAACAAACCCATGGTCGCTTCTCCACACACACGCACAACCCCCAACACACACACACACACACACACACTAGCACGGCATAGCTAACAACACCGTGAGACCACAACGACACACCGGAGAGACAACAGAGTCAACACGAGAATTAACAGAAACACGGGAAAGCAGCCTTCTAGCCTGCTCCCCTTCTCAACAAGAAGTGATACTTTTCCGGGGTTGCTCCATCCCAGTTTCCCTCTGGGGTCGCTCCTGGTTTTTTCTTGCACCGCTGCGGCCGGGCTGCTCTCCTGCCGGCTCTCGGGTGCTCCTGCTTTACCCCCGCGGCGCTGCCTCGCCCTGCTCTGCTGCGCCTGAGGGTTCTCCGGCCATAGCGGCTCTCTGGGGTTCGTCTGCACCACGATTCTGCACGGGGTGGCGGCGGCCACGGCTCGAATCCACACGGTTCGGTCGGGGCAGTGTGTGCCAGGCCGCGACGCACTGCCCCCTTCAGCAGGATGACTGCACGGCCGAGAAGTTTCGTAGTAGCAGTGAGGGTTTTCAAGTCCCAAAGTCTATCTCCCAAACCCCGCCATTCCTCAAAGGCAAAAAGGAGAGGGGGCACTTAAAAGAAACCGTTTCCACAGGCCCAAGCAATAAGCTTGTCAAACACCTTCTCAGCTACTGTTTCACCTCGCTTAGCAAGGATAGCTAACAGCAGCTTTTTAGCTGCAGCAAACTCCGATTCCGTGCTTGCAGCAAATGACAGGGGGAAGGTAGAGACCCTTCCTACCTCGGTTCGCGCCGACTGGCCCACGACCGAAACTCCTCTGTCCAGCTTCTATCAGCCTCTCACGTCTCCGACCGCGTCTCACCGCACGGAGATCAATCGGCTATCAGCCTCTCACGTCTCCGACCGCGTCTCACCGCAAGGAGATTAACCGGCTAACCGCATTCTTCTACCGTTTTGCGCTTTTTATCACCTTTTCGGGCGCCAGATAAAAGCAGAAGATGCAAAAAACGAGCTCGAGAGTCAGAGACACATCCTCATAGAGGTACAGGCAATGCTCTCACTTTATTCCAAAAATACACACATTATCAAGGGTCCTACAGGGTTCACACGCTCTATTCTAACTTTCTATTGGTTACATTTACTTTCACACACTATATCTATAACTTCATTGGCTCTACTAGCCAAGGCACATTTCCAGGTCCCCCCATCTTCTGGTTTCTCACACCCTGGATAACAACATCCTTCCTTGTTTTCCTCTATGTAGCTTTCTGATATCTGCTGCTCAAGGACACACATCTGCTGCTGGAGAACACAGGTCCGTGCCGTCCAGCACGCAGGCCGGATCTGTGCAAGCAGGCCTGATGCAGTATATGTCCTGCATCATCTAAGATTTTCTCAACAAGGCGGTGGTTGGTCCTTCATCCTCAAGACGTGCCCTGCCCATCGCAGCTGTGTTCTCAGTAACATGGCTTCTATACTTGTGACT